TTTTCTGCTTTTAGGTTAGGTGTGTCTGTTAGTTTAGTTTGTTTGGTATGGTCTTGTGTTTTTGGTTTGGGGCTCTGGCCCCTGTTCTGCTTGAGTGAGAGCAGCTATTATCCCTTTGGGAGCTTTGGAATTTTTATTAGTGTTTGTCCTGTCTTTCGTGTCGTGAGTCTTGTGTCTTAGTTTCTAGCGTTACTAGTGCGTGATGCGAATGTGGGTCTCGACCCCCGAAGGCGAGAAGGGTCGAGTGCCGAGTCGGCCCGAGAAGGCAAGGAAAAGGGCCAAAACAATGCGTGCATGGCTAAGGAGACGTGTACGAGCCCGTATACGAGGGTGCAGACGTGCGCAATGGCATAGAAGAGTACGCAAGTCGACGGTCGAGACACGCGTATGCAAGAGGAAAAGGTGTGAGATGCGCGCGAGAGTGTGACACGGATGCGCTGGGAGGAGACGTGAGCGACGCGAGTCGGCGCATACGCGACTGAGGCGATCGACATACCGAGGCTCGCGAAAGGGGGCTAGCACAGGGGTCGAACCAGCGATGGGCAATCGGGACAAGGGCCGTGGTCCGCGATCCAGCAATCGGAGGAAGTCTCTCGTGTCGTCCACTTGCGAGCGGGACGACGCGCGAATGCGGTAGCGCGTGCATGGCGCGACGGGGCACACGCGGGATGAGGTCAGCGACGCACGGGACGCGCAACGGCTGATGGGTGCGAGTCCTTGGTGGGCGAGGAATACCGCGCCGCCTAGGGTTGATCCGCGCGACTTGGCGCGCAAGGCAGAAGACGCGTGGGAAGCGCACGAGATGATCGCACAAGCGAAGGGCGCAAGCCTAATCCTCATAGGAATAGGCAAGGCGCGAATACTAGACCCTGCAGGACTAGGAAAAGCAGCTGAGTGCTGGTACGCGCGTGATAGATCGGCAACAAGAGTAATCTTCGAAGGAACAGGCAATAGGAGCATATTCCTAGTAGGAATAGGCAAGGTGGAGGCACGCTCGAGCAAACTCCTTGGCGGGTTAGGACTAGGCGATGCAGGCTCGGGCATGATCCTTCAAGGCATAGGGGAGACGCACGCCGGGTGGGCACAAGGCGACACGCGCGTGGCGGCTAGGGTTTCTTCCCTAGGTGGAGTAAGAATGGCGTGCGCAGGGATAGTCTAGGGATTTCTCTACTTGGAGTGCAAGACAAGATCACTTAGGATCCTTTAGATATTTAGTTTCCTTATTGCTTATGATATCTAGATTGTTTAGGACTTTAATATTTTATTGTTTTAATTAGTGATTTAGTTGCCTTAGGATTAGATATATTCCATCTATTAGAGTTATAGGTAGATTAGGACTAGATCTATTTGGTGCCTATATAAAGGCCTTTCCTCTTGTTATTTTGATCATGCAGAAATTAATGAAAAAGTCGAACCTTGTGTTCAATTTCTTGTGTTAGATTTCTTTTGAGATTTAGTGCAAAATCCTTGTTACGAGAAGGGCGTCCACCGCATAGCTCGAGCAAGACGAGTTTGGCAAGGACATCCGTCCGAGCTGTCTCACCTATCGCGAGAAGACAAGGAGTTAACCTCCGAATCGTCCGCAACCCTCGCCGAAGATCGAGTTCACGCAACGTCCGAGGCAAGGTCACGAGTCGGTAACACGCGATCCTTCATCATTGGTGCTTTCATTGAGAGAACCGATCGCGTGTTCTTTATCCCATCCCTTTCTTTAATTTTTGAGTCTTAAAAAAAAATAAAAAAATGAGCATGTTTTCTAAGGAGGAGATCGAGACAAGTTGGCGTTCATGGTAGAAGAGGGTGCAATCAATGAAAGCAAAACAATGGCATCGAAGAGGGGAGAACTTGGAAGGATTGGAGAGGAGTGTGACCCCGAAGGAGCAAAAATATTTGGAGGAGTTGTACGAGCGAAAGAATTTTGAGGAGGAGATTTTTCGGCGACAAGACGAGGGTCTATGCTTTACTTGCACCGAAAAATATGTGTCGGGCCATAAATGCAAGTCAAGCGTTGTAAGGGTCCAGGTCGTCGAAGTCGAGGTCGAGCATGATAAAGGCGAACCCGAAATTGTAGTCGAACAACTTGAGCAGGAGGCCAAGTGCATGGTCGAAGTACAAGATGTGGTCGACGAGGACTATGACGAGAAGACCATATTCCCGTTCGATTGTGCGGGCTATGTTGAAGACGAGGTCACTAAGTCCATGGTCGAGCGAGTCGAGTCCGAGGACCCACCTTCATTCGACGACGTGTTCATGGACAAGAGAGTTACGATCGACTACTTAGGGCCACCTATTTACGACGTGTACCTCGATGATGACGAGCACATGATGGTCGAGGAGTTTTGGAAGGAGGCCGAAGTGGAGTCAATTTCTGATGGACCGCCTATCTACGATGTATACCCCGATGACTACTTCGTCGAGATCAAGGTTGGAGAAGTCGAGGTGGTCGAAGCTCCAAGGCTCGAGGAGGTTTCGGACGTGGCCACGATAGCCGAGGTCGATGAAGTCGAGAAAGAGGAAGAAGAGGTCGATGTGATCGAGGAGGACGACGAGTCCCGAATGGAGATACTTGACGAGTCCTTGAGGACAAGGACTCATTCGAAGGGGGGAGGAATGATGCGAATGTGGGTCTCGACCCCCGAAGGCGAGAAGGGCCGAGTGCCGAGTCGGCCCGAGAAGGCCAGGAAAAGGGCCAAAACAATGCGTGCATGGCTAAGGAGACGTGTACGAGCCCGTATACGAGGGTGCAGACGTGCGCAATGGCATAGGAGAGTACGCAAGTCGACGGTCGAGACACGCGTATGCAAGAGGAAAAGGTGTGCGATGCGCGCGAGAGTGCGACACGGATGCGCTGGGAGGAGACGTGAGCGACGCGAGTCGGCGCATACGCGACTGAGGCGATCGACATACCGAGGCTCGCGAAAGGGGACTGGCACAGGGGTCGAACCAGCGATGGGCAATCGGGACAAGGGCCGTGGTCCGCGAGCCAGCAATCGGAGGAAGTCTCTCGTGTCGTCCACTCGCGAGCGGGACGACGCGCGAATGCGGGAGCGCGTGCATGGCGCGACGGGGCACACGCGGGATGAGGTCAGCGACGCGCGGGACGCGCAAGGGCTGACGGGTGCGAGTCCTTGGTGGGCGAGGAATACCGTGCCGCCTAGGGTTGATCCGCGCGACTTGGCGCGCAAGGAAGAAGACGCGTGGGAAGCGCGCGAGATGATCGCACAAGCGAAGGGCGCAAGCCTAATCCTCATAGGAATAGGCAAGGCGCGAATACTAGACCCCGCAGGACTAGGAGAAGCAGCTGAGTGCTGGTACGCACGTGATAGATCGGCAACAAGAGTAATCCTCGAAGGAACAGACAATAGGAGCATATTCCTAGTAGGAATAGGCAAGGTGGAGGCACGCTCGAGCAAACTCCTTGGCGGGTTAGGACTAGGCGATGCAGGCTCGGGCATGATCCTTCAAGGCATAGGGGAGACGCACGCCGGGTGGGCACAAGGCGACACGCGCGTGGTGGCTAGGGTTTCTTCCCTAGGTGGAGTAGGAATGGCGCGCGCAGGGATAGGCTAGGGATTTCCCTACTTGGAGTGCAAGACAAGATCACTTAGGATCCCTTAGATATTTAGTTTCCTTATTGCTTATGATATCTAGATTGTTTAGGACTTTAATATTTTATTGCTTTAATTAGTGATTTAGTTGCCTTAGGATTAGATATATTCCATCTATTAGAGTTATAGGTAGATTAGGACTAGATCTATTTGGTGCCTATATAAAGGCCTTTCCTCTTGTTATTTTGATCATGCAGAAATTAATGAAAAAGTCGAACCTTGTGTTCAATTTCTTGTGTTAGATTTCTTTTGAGATTTAGTGCAAAATCCTTGTTACGAGAAGGGCGTCCACCGCATAGCTCGAGCAAGACGAGTTTGGCAAGGATATCCGTCCGAGCTGTCTCACCTATCGCGAGAAGACAAGGAGTTAACCTCCGAATCGTCCGCAACCCTCGCCGAAGATCGAGTTCACGCAACGTCCGAGGCAAGGTCACGAGTCGGGAACACGCGATCCTTCATCAGTGCGGTTCTACGCGGTCTTTGGATCTGTCCTCCAAGTCCTTTCAACTTTTGATTGTTTTATTTGGCTAGGAGTTGTATCTTTGCACATTTGTGCGTTTTTATCTATAAAATTGTCTATCGTTTCAGAAAAAAAATAATGAACACAGTCATTATTTTTTGGCCTCCCTTGCAGCACAGGGGTCTGACGAAGTTCAACGTTTGGACAATCCTCCCTCCGGTGGCAAGACTTGGCTTGCTCATTGTAGGTGTATTGTATCTCAGAAACGTGTTGGTCTCGTCTTAATTAGACTTTGCTTCTTTTTCATTGTACCCAAAAAAAAAATAAAAAATAAAAATGTGGCGCTTAACAAATGGAACTTAGACTATCATTCCGGTAGAAAAAACAAATGGAACTTGATACTTTGTTTATTCTATTTGTCAAGTCTACTTGGTGCATAGTGGCAAATATGAATCACCATTTCATCATCATCCTCATCTCTCTCCGCCACACAACTGATGTGTTAGAAAGAGAAACACAGTGGAAGAAAACCCGAAGTCCGTATCATCCTCATCTCTCACTTCTATTCCGTCGGATGAAATGCCCTCCGACCCTGAAGAAGAATCTAGTAGGCCCCAAGCTCCGCACCCGGAGGTTTTCATGGATTTGGATCTCGATCTGGATGGCTCGTGGCCGTTGGATCAGATCTTTGCCGCAGCTTCAGCGAATCCCGTGCCGCCCTTTTTGCTGTCCAGTTCGGAGCAGCCGTGTTCTCCACTTTGGGCCTTTTCAGATGATAATAATAACGGGAATTCCGTATCAGGCGCTGGTTTCTGGTTAGCTGACTCCTCCAGGATAATATCTTGTATGGTTTTTGCTCTAAGCTTATTTTGACGTTCTGAATTGGAAAGTTTTCTGAGTTCTACTCTAACAATAACCTTGATGTTTTTTTGAGTATTTTTGTAGCTTCATTTATTTCTCGCTCTTATGCAATTGAAACCGTTATTTTCACTATTTGCAGGGTTGTATTGTTATTCATTACATTAGTTTATATTGTAAAAATTGTGTTTCGTATCAACAACAAAATTTTGGGAAATTTTCTTAGCTCATTTCTGTAACTCTCTTTTTCTGTACGTACAAAGTCAAGCCCTTATAGCTAATGCAGTCATGCAAGACGACAAGCCAAAACGACGTCGTGTACATTAATCTCAAACGACGTCGTTAACTAGTAAAACAAATAAAACGAAAAGGAGAACAAAACGATGTCGTCTAGGCAAAACGACACCGTAAAACTTAGAACAAAAGAAAGAAAATAAAACGCGCGCATTCACGAGAAATTCATGCAGAGCAGTGCTGCGCCATGTTCGAGCATGTTCGACCATGATCTTCAACACCCGCCCCTCAAGGTGGGCCAGGATGAACCACAGTCAGGCCCAACTTGGACACAAGAGCAGCAAACCGGTGGCCAGTAAGAATCTTGGTGAAAAGATCGGCAAGTTGGTGCAGTGAGGCAACAAACATAGGCAAAATGAAACCTTGTTTGAACTTGTCCCGGACGAGATGACAATCAATTTCCAAATGTTTTGTGCGTTCATGAAAAACCGGATTAGCAGTGATATGCATGGCAGCTTGGTTATCACACCACAGAGGAATAGGAAAGGTGAGAGAAACCTGAAACTCCTGAGCAAGGTAATGAAGCCACATCAATTCAGAGACAGTAGATCCCATGGCACGGTATTCTGCTTCGGCTGAAGACTTAGAAACAGTGTGCTGCTTCTTACTCTTCCAAGAAATGAGGGAGTCTCCAAGAAAAATGCAAAACCCGGTGATAGATCTTCTAGTGTCTTTGCAAGTAGCCCAGTCGGCATCACAATAGGCAACAAGAGAGAAAGAGGTTGACTGTGAAGAATAGAAGATGCCTAATGCTGGAGTCCCTTTCAAATATTTGAGAATGTGCAAGGCTGCATGCCAATGAGTGTCATAGGGTGCAGTGACAAATTGACTTAGCTGCTGGACAGCATAAGTCACATCAGGTCTAGTGAGACCAAGGTACAACAGCCGGCCAATGAGTCTCCTAAAAAGTTCTGGCTCTTCCATGGCTGTACCATCTATAGCCAATAACCTGGTCCCCAAAGGCAGAGGTGTAGGAGAAGAAGAACACTCTAACATGTTCATATCAGCAAGAATGTCCATAATATACTTTCTTTGACACAGCAGAACTCCTCTGGATGCATAAGTGAACTCAATGCCCAAAAAAAACTTAGCAATCCCTAAGTCTTTGATAGTGAACTGATCATCAAGAAATTTCTTCAAGTTCTGAATCAGAGAGAAAGATGAACTAGTGACTAATACATCATCCACGTAGACCAATAATGCCAAGAAATCTGATCCTTTGGTAGTAGTAAACAGACAGTGATCATAGTTGGATTGAATCAGCCCATAATGAGACAATTTGGTGCATAGTTCATTATTCCATTCCCTCGAGGCTTGTTTGAGGCCATATAAACTTTTAACCAGCTTGCATACCTGACCAGGGCCTGCCTTGTCATAGCCCAAAGGTGGATGCATAAACACCTCTTCAGAAAGTGTGCCATGAAGGAAAGCATTGTTGACATCTAACTGATGAATTGGCCATCCTCTGTGAGTTGCTACAGCAATGAGAAACCTTACAGTTACCAACCGTGCCACAGGTGAGAAAATATCAAAGTAGTGTATCCCTTCTATTTGACTGTACCCCTTTGCCACAAGTCTGGCCTTGAACCTCTCAATAGATCCATCTGCCTTTCTTTTGATCTTGTATACCCATTTGCTGCCTATTGCTTTCTTTCCATGTGGAAGGTCAGTGATTTCCCAAGTATGATTAGCCTCCAAAGCATCCAATTCCTTTTGCATTGCCTCTACCCAGGAAGGATGTTGAACTGCTTGCTTATAGTGGACAGGCTCCTTGTCTTGGGAAATGTTGGCTGAAAACTCTCTTTGGGAAGTTAATGAATTCCCACAAACATAATCATGATGCCAATTTGGTGCCCCTCTTGATCTATTGCTTCTTCTCAGTCCATCATTTTCAGTAGGAACTGGAAGAAGTGGATCAATCTCCCCAGTCTCTGAATTGTCATCTTCTAATGCCCTTGGGACAACATTTTCTACTGGAACTGAAACCACATGAGGGAATACATCATCAAAAAACACCACATCCCTGGATACAAAACAATCTCCAGTATCCATATTGAACAATTGAAATCCTTTGTTTCCAGGAGTAAAACCCAGGAAAACACACTTACTGCCTCTAGGGTCATATTTGGATTTGAGAGGATGAACTGTAGTAGCATATGCTAGACAACCAAAAGGTTTAAGTTTGTCATAATCTGGCTGCTTTCCATAAATTCTCTCATAAGGTGTAGACCATTGAAGAGGAGCACTAGGTAACCTGTTTATAACAAAAGCTGCAGCTTGTATAGAATAAGGCCAGAACTTTATTGGTAATTGAGCTTGGTAAATTAATGCTCTCCCAATCTCAAGTAGCTGCTTATGCTTTCTTTCAACCACACCATTTTGTTGTGGTGTGTAGACACAGGTGGTTTCATGAACAATTCCTTTTCCTTGAAAAAAGGTTTCAATCTCTTTTCCCAAAAATTCCTTTCCATTGTCAGTTCTGATCTTCTTAACTTTGGTTTCAAACTGAGTCTCTACCATTAAGATAAATCTGCTTAACAATTTAGAGGCTTGTGATTTTTGTTCCATCAAGAATACCCAAACACCTCTACTGTAATCATCTACTATTGTTAAGAAGAAAGGTGTACCAGTCATTGCCTCTTCTTTGCATGGTCCCCAGATATCAGCATGTAACATCTCAAAGATCTTGGTGGCATGTATGTAACTGTTCTGAAATGGAAGTCTTTGCTGTTTTGCCTTGTGACACACCTCACAGGATAAGATATTTCTCTCTTCTTGCTCTGTGCATTTGCCCTTAAGGAATTGAACATGTTTCATGGTGCTGATGCTAGCATGACCAAGACATTGATGCCATTTCTCCAGAGAAAATTTGTCTTTCACAACATTAGCATGTACATTGTTTTCCTTGCTCAATATATACAAATTTCCCTTTGAAATTCCTTGCCCCACCAATTGTCCACTATCACAGTGAGTTAAAAGACAGGAACTAGCTGAAAAGGAGCATCTTACTTTCTCATCCATGCAAAGTTGACTAACTGACAGCAAATTATACTTGAAGTCAGGCACAAAGAGAACATGATGCAGAGTTAAAACTTTGTTCACAGTTACCATTCCTGCAATATTTACTTTCTTGCTTGATCCATCAGGTAGACAAATGGTGACTGAATCCTTCAATGTGTATGTGTTTCTCATAACACTAAAATCTCCACACATATGCTTGCTTGCTCCAGTATCTATGATCCAATCGTTGCAATTGACATCATCAGCAGTAGTTAAGGCAAAGTGCATCTCATCATCACTCTCTTTCTTTGTAAAGCTCACCATTTGTGCAAAGTCTACTTTATTTTCTCCAGTTTCCTTGCCCTTTATGAATTGTGTGAGTTCCTGTAATTGCTTGACCACAATGGAGAGATCACTGTCCTGTGAGTTTCTCTTATCATTCATACTTTCTCTCCAATCAGCATTGTCACCACTCAACTCCACATTTCCAGCATAGTTTATCCCTTGTGTCTTTAGCTCTTTATACCACTCAGGAACACCATGTATTTTAAAACATGTGGCAACTGTATGACCTCTCATTCCACATTTGTCACATAGTAACTTGGCTCTTTCTTCTCTAGTTAATCTGGTAAAGCCTCTACCACCTCTTCCATTTGTGAAGTTTCCTCCTCTACCACCAAAGCCTCTTCCCTGACCATTTAAACCTCGGCCATAACCCTCAGCTCTAGTGCTCATAGCTAGACTTTCAACTCTGTCAAAGGAATTGCTCACAGTTTTCTGTCTTTCTGCTGTGAGAGCCATTGAATAGGCTTTGTTCACACTTGGTAAGGGATCAATTAACACAATTTGGTTCTTGAAACTATCATATCCTTCATTAAGTCCCATCAGAAATTGTATGAGCTTAGTTTCTGCATCATTTTGAGCCACTATTCTTCCTTTTTCACAATTGCAGAACTGTGTAGGAACAACACATGCATATTCATCCCATAGCTTCTTCAACTTATTAAAATATTCCATGACGGTGCAATTCCCTTGCACTAAAGTATTAATTTCCCTCTGCAACTTATACTTCATCGGTCCATTATTTTCTCCAAACCTCAAACACACTTCATCCCACAGATCCTTAGAAGTTTCAGCATAAACAAACGATTCGGCAACATCTTTAGTCATAGAACTTAGAATCCACGACAAAATCATCCAATCAACCTTTTTCCATTCATCATATTCATCACTATCAACAGCAGGTACAGAGATCTCACCGTTTATAAAGCCGAGCTTCCTTTTAGCTCCTAGAGCTATCATCATCGATCGACGCCATGAGAGGAAGTTACTGCCAGTGAGCGGGTGCGAAACGAGCACCAAACCAGGGTTATCCGATCCATGAAGGAAGAGAGGATCCTGAGTTCCTTGACGCAATCCAGATCCTCCAACATTGAGAGCATTCTCTCGCCTCATCGCCATTAATCGTCAATCAACAAGGTCACCAGAATCGACTGCTCTGATACCATGTAAAAATTGTGTTTCGTATCAACAACAAAATTTTGGGAAATTTTCTTAGCTCATTTCTGTAACTCTCTTTTTCTGTACGTACAAAGTCAAGCCCTTATAGCTAATGCAGTCATGCAAGACGACAAGCCAAAACGACGTCGTGTACATTAATCTCAAACGACGTCGTTAACTAGTAAAACAAATAAAACGAAAAGGAGAACAAAACGATGTCGTTTAGGCAAAACGACACCGTAAAACTTAGAACAAAAGAAAGAAAATAAAACGCGCGCATTCACGAGAAATTCATGCAGAGCAGTGCTGCGCCATGTTCGAGCATGTTCGACCATGATCTTCAACATATATGCCACATTCTTTAGTGTAGACTGCAATCTTTTTGGTGTTTTGGACTTTGTGGTGGCACCTGTTGTAGCTTATCTGGGTTAAGACAATTTTATGACTAGGAAAAACACTTATAGACTCCTTCCCTTTTCATTCTGTCTTACTTTAGGAGAATCATAGTTTGGTTTACCAAACTACGCTTGCTTTATTTATATATATATATATATATATATATATATATATATATATATATATTTTACTATGATTAACTTGTCCAATCTATTTGTAAACAAGCCAATATTTTGACAAAGCTGATTCTGTAGCTGTTCATTAATCTTATATTTCTAAATTACATAAGTTTTTGATAATAAGAAATGTCTGTTTCATCTGTCTGTTCTCTTCATCTCTGATTCTGCGCCAAAAGTTTCACTGCTGCTTCCGAGTATATAATGAGTGTGGTAATCAACTGAACATTCGCACATGTGTGGTTGACTCTGATTTCTTTATGTAGACTCCAGTAACCCTGATATAGCAGCTGAAAGTGTATGTGCCAATGACGACAAGAAAAACCTCCCTTCTCCTTATGTGGGAACGATGCCTATTGGCAATCCTGATGGATCATGTATAATAAAAGAAAGGATGACTCGGGCTCTTCGGTATTTCAAGGATTTGACTGAACAGCATGTCTTAGCTCAGGTTTGGGCACCTGTGAAAAATGGTGGCCGATATATGCTCACTACATCAGGGCAACCGTTTGTTCTTAACCCAAATAGTAATGGGCTTCATCAGTATAGGCTGGTCTCTCTTATGTATATGTTTTCTGTGGATGGTGAGAGTGATGGAGATCTGGGACTTCCAGGTCGTGTGTTTCGGCAAAAGTTGCCAGAATGGACACCAAATGTGCAGTATTATTCCAGCAAAGAATTTCCACGTCTCAACCATGCCTTGCATTACAATGTTCGAGGAACTTTAGCTTTGCCTGTATTTGAGCCTTCGGGGCAGTCATGCGTTGGTGTGCTTGAGCTGATAATGACATCCCAGAAAATAAATTATGCCCCAGAGGTTGATAAAGTCTGCAAGGCGCTTGAGGTTAGATTATGTTCTCTCCATTAACATGGTGCTGTTGGAGTCAATTAGTATGGTTCTGAATTGAATTTTGAATTTTCATCTGTATCATAAACTGTGTATTACTGTATTGTTAGTGGTGTCTTCCTTGTAAAGGTTTACTGCTCAATTTTTGTGATCTTAAAATGTACTAATGCATTCGGCTTCTGTTAATATTGGTGTCACATCAATACCGAGGATACCAAAACCCTACCTACTTTATGTGTTAATACTGGATATTATTATTTATCTTCTTTATAGTGGTTCATTACCCAATTTTCATAATTTTAAAATGTTCTATTGCATTCCGTTTTCTGCTAATGTGTGTTACATCAATACTGAGGATACAAGAACCCAACGTACTTGTGCATTAATATGGAATATTGTTAATTTTATTTGGATACCATTGTCTTTTGTGTAAAGTGTGAGTGATTGATTGTTCGTCAGCCACTAGCAATCTATTGTTCAATTTCCATTTCGTAGCATCGGCCAAGAGTTCTCTCTTCAAGATATTGTTATGAACAATCTGCACGAACACACACACACACACACACACATGTATGAATATCAATCAATCACAGTCTATTACTGAACCTCTCAGTGGAGAGCGTCACTGCTTCTCAAATATGGATTGCCTGATCCAGTCCATCACCAAATTGAGTTCTATAACAACCTTTTCTTATAGCTTTTTCACGAATCTTCAGTCCAGTCTTATAAAATTGTTCTAATACAAGTTAGAGCTCTTATTGGTTTGTAGCAGAGAAGTTATTGTACTTTTGTGTGCATCTTTATCCAATAAAATGGTCTCTTATCCCTCCGCTTGACTGCTTCCAGAAGTTTGAGAATCTTTCATAACGCAAACTCAGTTCTTGTGCAGGCAGTGAACTTGAAGAGTTCAGAGATCTTGGATCACCAAAGTACGCTGGTAAGAAAGAGAAAAAAGACCAAAGAAAACACTGAAAAAAAAAATGTCATTATGCCGATGCCCATCTGATTTCTCTCTCTGCACCCATCCTCAGATATGCAATGAGGGCCGCCAGAACGCGTTGGCGGAGATCCTGGAGATAATCACGTTGGTCTGCGAGACACACACATTGCCGCTTGCCCAGACATGGGTCCCTTGCTGTCACCGCACCATCCTAGCAAATGGCGGTGGCTTCCGGAAAGCCTGCAGTAGCTTTGATGGGAGCTGCATGGGCGGAGTCTGCATGTCAACAACTGATTTGGCCTCGTATGTGGTGGACCCTCGCATATGGGGCTTCCGCGATGCGTGCTCCGAGCACCATCTACGGCGTGGCCAGGGTGTGGCTGGCAGGGCCTTCGCATCCCGCGCCTCTTGCTTCTGCCCGGACATCACCAGCTTCTGCAAGACCGAGTACCCGCTCGTTCACTACGCCCGCATGTTTGGCCTCAGAAGCAGCTTCGCCATCTGCCTGCGCAGCAGCCACACTGCTGACGATGACTATGTCCTCGAATTCTTTTTACCTCCAGACATTGTCAGCTGTGGGGACCAGCGTGCCCTTCTCGACTCGCTTCTGGCCACTGTGAAGCAGCAGCATATGGGGAGCCTGAGGGTGGCTTCGGGGAGGGACCATGACCAGGAGTTGGGGTCTGTCGAGATTGTCGAGGCTTCTGCTGCTGATGAGAAGCTGAGTTTCAGTCCTGTATTTCCGGCATTGCCCGGTTTCATTCTGAATGGGAAAGGTCCACAGGTCGATGGTTCAGAAGTGCAGGTGGCAGTGGGCAAATCTGATCCTGCAAATGTTGAGGGAGATGCTAATGGACTCGTTCGAGTGCCAAATGCTTCGAATGTTGCTCGACTGAAGGATACAGGCAAGAAACCTAAGAGGAAGCGAGGGAAGGCGGAGAAAATGATTAGCTTAGACGTTCTACAGCAGTATTTCGCAGGTAGCCTCAAGGATGCTGCAAAAATGCTTGGCGGTAAGCTTACCTATATTCTACTATCTTCACTGATACATCAATTTATTGGTAATACCTAATCCCTTTTTTTTTTTTGTCTTTTTTCGGTGGGCTTACAGTTTGTCCTACTACTATGAAACGCATCTGTAGACAGCACGGGATTTCTCGCTGGCCGTCGCGCAAGATAAACAAGGTTAATCGTTCTCTTACGAAGATTAAGCGTGTAATTGAATCTGTACAAGGTGGTGAAGGAGGAACGTTCAGTTGGTCTTCGTTGGGCACGAGTCCTATTCCTGTCAATGTTGGTCCCCTTTCTTGGACAGCACCCAAATTGAATGGATTGAACCAACAAAACTCACCGACCTCCGGCCAATCTGAATTTCAGGAAGACAAGAAAAACTTTCTAGTGACTGTGACCCCCGGAGAAGAGAAACATGCAGAGCCGGGTCTGAATGCAAGACATGAAAACCTAAATTCTCAGTGTGATGGATTTTTCCCGTGCAGAGACTCAAACAGATCCAGAACTGGGAGCGGCTCAAGAGAAGAGAGCACAGGGACCGCTACTTCCCAAGACTCATGCCAAGGTAGCCCTTGCCCTGGAAACGAAACTGAAATCTCCCCTTTAAATGATCAACCCTGCATGAATGCGAGAGGCCCGCACAAGATGGTGTGCCTGCAAACTGAAGATATTAATCTGCCCGTGACATTCTCAATTCCTGATAATTTATTTGGAGCAGCCAAGGAGCCATTTTGCGAAATTGTTGTAGAGGATGCAGTAAGTTCACATGACCTTAGAAAAGTATGTCCAGCTGGAGAATCCCTATTCGATGAGCATGTCGTCGAGTACAGTTGGATGAAGGCACTCTGTCCCGATGCCGTAATGCCCAAAGATTGCCTGGCCACTCGACTTGATCATACGCCGCAGTTTGAAGCTAGGCCGGAGGTGAAAACGATCACTATAAAGGCCACATACAGAGATGACATAATCAGGTTTCGAGTTCCTATGGAGTCTGGTATCCATAGGTTGAAGGAGGAAGTGAGCAAGAGGTTGAAGCTGGAGATGGGCACTTTTGATATCAAGTATGTTGATGATGATCATGAGTGGGTCTTGATATCTTGTTATGCCGACTTGCAGGAGTGTATTGATGCGTCAATATTTTCTGGAAGCAATATAATCAGGCTGCTAGTGCACGACTGTTCGGTCAATCGTGGGAGTTCGTGTGAGAGTTCAGGGTAACGATATGCGAACAAATCTGTTAAGCGTTCCTGCTTGCTAGTATAATTAAGTGGAAGTGTATTTTTATTTAATTATTTTTTTTCCTAATTTATTTGGGTATTTCTTTAATTCTTCAGTCTTTTAGTGAACTTGTTCTGTTTTGTGGAGAACAAATCTTTCTCCGCCTGTAGGTAAATTGTATAAAATCCTTAATTCTTCCAAGTGTACATGTTTTAGAGGACTGGAACTTGGGGCTGTCTTGGCTGTCTCATTTCTCGAAGTTGAACTTTGCTATTTTTCCATGTAGATATTGTCTTGATATAGTACCAAGAAAGTTTGGCGGACCGGCTTGAGCAGGTAGCTTGAGTCAGGTTGGTCCAAAAGAGCTCTAACTTGATGATACAAGTGTTGGAGTATACTGTAAAGTTTACCTTGAGTCAGGTTGGTCCAAAAGAGCTCTAACTTGATGGTACAAGTGTTGGAGTATACTGTAAAGTCTCGTTTTTTTTGTTAATCTACAATTCTATTTGAATGAGATGTGTGTTTTTAGTCACATGGATGTTCATAGTTAAATTTATTTATACGAACATTGTTCCTTAATTTACATTATAGATAATATGGTTCGATGTATCGAACAGAAAGATCACGTTATCAGTTTCTTGTAAAATATAAATAATTGATTCACAGCCTAAACAGAATTGAACTATTTGTTGTGAAAGGTTGTAGTGTAATTTAGATTCAGTTGATATTTAACAGATGAATTACACTAGTACATCGTGTGTATTAAATGGACTTACAGAGGATAAGATTATTTTATACGGATTAAGAACAATTTAGACCTCTGTAACTGATGCGTTCTCTTAACTCGTAAAACAATAAACGGGCATATGTATTCATCACTAATTTATTTGAGTTACCAAGAGTGATTCATATTTTTGTTAGGATGACATGCTCGTTATTTTGGAAAATAATGTTGTTTACATGATGAGTTGTTGAGATTGTTTACGGTCACTATGTCCCGGTCCCCTGGATTGATGACGTAATGAGCTCAGGAAAGTTTATTATGTTAAATCCTGCAGGCGGATTAATTTTCCAACATAATAATTAAAAACTGGGTGGTACTAATTTCGGATAATAAATAAAAGAAATTGATTGATTATATTGTCTGTAATTAAATTAATCAATGGACGTTATATTATAAACATAGAGAGGTAAATTGATCAATTAAATTAATTAATCAAATTAATAAGCAATGGGAGAATTTATTTGTAAAATCTAGTAGAATATTTTATTATTTATTCAAATAAGAAAAGAAATTAAATTGTCTTCTAAAATTTCTAAGTAGGAGGATCTAATATCTTCTAAAATATTACCAGGGTGAGAAGACATGAAGTCTTTTTTAAGGTTAATTAAGTTGGAAGGTGTTAGGACTTCTGGAAGGTTAAAGAGTTGGAAGACATAAGGTTTCTTAATTCTGTTTGGAGAAGCTCATATTTAGCACCTCTTTAGGGTCCCTAATGTAGCCTATAAATACACTAAGTCCCAACACCTCCTCCATACTTCAAATCACCGAAAACCGCCACAGCCAGCAGCCCACGACCAGCCGCATCGAGTCCTGGCGACACTTGCAATCGCACGACGCCTAGCGACCCGTGCCTGCTCGAACTCCTCCCAGACGCGACCCGTGAATCCCCAGGCAGACCCGCGACATCCTCGGACGACCCGCGCCCAACAGAAACGCATCCGTGGACAGCGCCTGACACGCACGCAACCACTTCAACCCCCGACGCGTGCGACCAGCACCCGGACAACACCCGACGCGTGACGATCTCGAGTTCCCGACATCGACCCGATCAGCTTTCCGACGACTCACGATCAACCGAGGAGGCCAAATCCGTCTGCCAAATGGACTTTGCGAATCAGACGATTTCCTATAGAAGAAATCTACAACGTCTCAGAGTCAACAATATTTTAAACTGTAAGTCCTAATCCTAACTATAGATTTCGCTGCATTAGGATTTAATTCGTTAGATTTGGATGTGCATATATGTAACGCCCCACTTTATCTTAAAAGATTTATCGAATTTGTTTAATAAAAATCAGAATTAATTTTTCGCAAATCTCGATTAAGTTTAAAATTCAATGGGCGCTACTTATTTTTCCAACAACAATTTATCCAACATACAATAGATCAGAATGAACCTACACATTTACCAAGATCTAAAATATCAATTAAATAAAAGCTCAATCCAAAGGTTCAAATCCGTCCAACACTTTTCCAAAATCAACTAGTTCAAACATGCTCAACTAAACCATAATAAGTTCATAAATGCGGAAATAAATAATAGTCTTAAAAGCAAGACCACCCACTCGCCTTGCCTCGTCACTCGCCAACTGCTTAACCTGCATCCGTGAAGAGCAAGTGGGAGTGAGTACAGTTGGAAAATATCGTACTCACACTATGCATATGAATAACATAATATTGGTATGGTCGCAGCATGAACATAAACAATAATCACATCATGTCTCATCTCCTAATCAATATCACACCATTTAACCTTACTCCTGTGCACATCTATCGCTAGCCGCAGAACGGGAATTCATTACCCGAAGGCGGGAGTACGTGCCACTGTAACGGACACGCCTTCCACATGGGCTTACGTACCTCACAAGGGCATGGCCATATCAGGACTTAAGGAGATTGCCACACAAGGGCACCGTACCGTAACTTGACGGGGACAACCGTACCGACGGCGGTAACAATTCACATCGATAGGCTACATGTTCACATGCATACATAGATCATACCCAATTTTCAACACAATTACAAACACACATATGCATAGATAATTTTAGAATAACAACCCACCTGGATGTTCGGATTGACGATAGCAAAATCAGAAAGGACGTAGGTCGAGGCTTGACTCCTCAAACACCTACATTAAGTCAAGGTCCTACAATCAATATCTTGACTTAGACGGAAAACACAAATCAGACTTAGTCGAACTTGATTCAACTAAGTTGTTCGTGAAGTCCTGTGGACGTTGGAACACTTAGACTCGACACTATACTCAACCACATCACACATGGGGAGTTCACATAAGTCAAACTAATGATTGACCAAGTCAAACAAACAAGAAACGGAAAGCGAATCAATTTACAGCTTTTAGCACAAAAACCATATTTTGCAAATAATAATTAATAAACACATGAAACTAGTTGGTCAGGTTGCCCTATGAATTATACTCTGAAATTTTAACCAAAAATATACCTACCAGTACTTAGGAAAACCACCAAGTTTCAGCCTCAAATTCCAAATACATGATTTTATAAAATTCATACAAGATAACAAAAAAAACGAGCATAAATTTACAACTAAACCTAATGAACGAATCATGACCTGATATTTTAACACCACCAACTACAGCATGAGAGTGACAACATATAAAAATCTCAGCCGTGGACATTAACTGTACTAATTTTAAAAATTTATACAACTTTCAACAGTTATCGAATTTTAATTAAAACCAAACCAAATTGAACTCCAAAGTTTCTCATATTTTGACAGCATGAAAACACACATAAAACAAGCATCTCAACCAAATATCAGAATTTTTGAACAACTAACCAATTTATCATAAATAAAACAACTTTCTGCAGAATTCAGAAAATGAATTATTTACCCTATCAAACTTAGACAAAAATTTTAAAACTTTTACACAGCATATAATCATGATAGAGGCATAACATACTCGAATTTCAGCATAATTGAAGCACGGACCAATTTATTATGCATTTAACATGTTTCTGACCAGAAAACACTTTATTTATTTAAAATAGCTACAGACCTTTAAATATTATGAAATTTTTACACAAGCCTGAAATTTAGCAGAAGACAAGACCCTAAAAATTTCAATGCAATCCGAGTCGTGTGAGATTCTTAATAATCTAAAACAGCGTATAATCGAGCTCGACAATTTCACACAAAATATTTAACATGTAATTCTCGTCCGAGGCCTTCCCATAAGGCCAAAGACTTGACATGGTTCCAAAATCCACAGCCTTGCACGATTTTCGAGGTCTCGCTCTATTCCTTAAAATCGAAGAGATCCCGAAAAATACACACAACACATTAAATCACAATTTCACATAATATCATATCGCACACATTAATCGCATAGTATTCACATCACGTCATTCAAACACAATACGAAATCTACATATATACGATTTAACGAGACGGGGTTCGACTAGGTACCGTTCTCGGGAAAAGCTCAGAAAAACGGAACAAAAAGGGGAGGAGCGAGCTCTCGGTGGCTAGCGGCGGTGCTCGGTGGCTTCGCTCGACTCGAGAAGGAGGACAGCGGCGGAGGAGGGTTCGTCGCTTCTTCTGGTCACGGCCAGAGGTCGCTCGTCGAGATGCTGTTCAAACAGAGAGTCGCCGGAAAGCTGCACGAGGAGGTTGTGCGTGGACGGGGACTCGCGATGGCTCACTGGAGTTGCTGGGCTGCGGCGAGGATCACGAACAGAGAAGGTTTCATCATCGGGGCTCGTGGACTGCTCGCGGGAGGGTCGAATTCGCCGGAACTTCTCGAAGAGAGGTCGCCGGAGTTGGAGCTGGCTGGCCGCGTGATGGTTTCGCGGGTTGCTATTTGCCGGCGCCTGGTTTATCCCATCGAGAAGAGGTGATGACGACGGGATGGTGCGCGACGTGGGCGTCTCATGAACAGACAGAGACGACGAGAGGGAAGGTGATGATCGAATGATGAAGGTGATGCGATTGTTTCTGAGCGAGAGAAGGAAAAGAGGGCGATCAGATTTTGTCTTGCGACTACGGCTTATGCGAGAGAGATGAGCGAGATCTCAGATTCGGAACAGAGAAGAAAAAGCTGCGGGATGTCGACTGAAGAGAATGAGGGAGCGTACGTTTTAAAAGAGCTTAGGGTTAATTAATCTTTTCTTAACCCTCAAGACACACACACTCACACATGGGGCGAACCGGGTCGGGGCGAGAAAAATTGGGTTCGGCTGAATCGGGGCCGCGGGTTCGAGGGGGTTTGAGTCGAAGGTTCGGTTCTCTCGGTTAACTCTCGGGCTCGATAAATCGCATGCTAAATAAATAAAACCGGCAAATAAATAAATTGCACATATATATATATATATATTTAAAATAATAAAAATAAGAATAAAAATTTAGGAAATTTATTACATTTAGACAAATAGTAAAATTTAGACATTCATTAATAATAATACTAATAATAAATACAATAATGATAATCAGGTAATAACAATAATAATCACAATATTCGCAATTAATAATAATAATAAAAATCCCAAAAATCCACAAATAAACGGGGCGCTACAGTCTACCCATCTTACAAAGGATTCCGACATCAGAATTCGAAAGAAAAACAATGATAACTAGAACACGAAAGAGTACAAAGGGGATCAAAAGGCGAAGTTTGGATATCTCCTCCTAATCTCGACCTCCTTCTCCCAAGTCGCCTCAGACTCATCGTGTCGGCTCCACAGCACCTTCACCAGA